TAGTTAATGTGGTTTAATTAGAAAAACTCAGTGAATCTCACAGAAAGACTCAGCCTGCGCGCACAGCGACGCGCTTCTGTCACAGCAGTCTCTCATCAGGAGAGTTTAGTCACTCACACAGAGTTGGACAGATCTGTTCAATAACAACATTCTGAACATATATTTAATATAAAGTTAGGTTTTACAGACCAAAGTCTCTGGTAGGTCAAGAGCAAAGTGCAGGAGGAGCAGAGGAGGAGATGTGACTGATCGCAGCAACAGCTCGAGTCGAGTCGAGCCGGCCCACTGCTTCAACCAAACCTGCTCCCACTGAAAGTCCCGCCCTGCTCTGCTCTGATTGGATAAAACAGCTCTGGACTTCATCTGATTTGTTGAAGACAGTGTCCGTTTAATCCTTATATCAGGGTCCAGCTGTGGCGCACTGAACAACGATCCATTCACACCAGTGCCGCTGGATTCTTTTCTTTTCTTTTTTTTTTTTTAAGAAATCAGGTCGCCTTTGCGACCACAGTGGTCGCACTCTAGAGCCCTGCTAGCTGTTGTTTTGACAGACAATCAGGTATAATCTTAGGTACGCAAGGGAGCTTTATGACGTCCCATCTGGTGCACTTTTTCCTTTTTTGATCGCGCAAGCGCACCGGTTATGTGCACCTCTGAGCATATCATTGCTAAATCACTCAAAATGTCTGATAGTTTAATGAAAATTTAAACAACATGCTATGTTAATGTTATTATAAGTAACAATCTATACTTGTACTAAATCCCCTCAACTTACTTCAAGTGTGTTAAATGGTAAAATTACTAGAAAAAATATTTTTCACAAAAAGTCAGTTAAATTAGAAACAATCTGCTCACTTGTTATGGAAGTCGTAGATTTCCTGCATGTTGCCGAAAATAATGTGCTCCTTGTTTGAGATGCCTGAAGGAATCTCCTCCTCACCGCTGGTCATCTCCCACAGGTAGGTCTGTCACAGAAAAATAGTCAGAAGTATGGGGTGCCGTTTGTAAAGTTACACAGTCAAAAATTACCACCAATATTTTTCTTTTATGTAGCCTTTTATAAGAAAAAAAACATTTATGTTTCAAAGTCAGTTTTTCACCACATGATTCATACATTTATAAATGCCAGTTTATAAACTAAATATTTAGCTTACAAATTAAATATTTAGTTAACAAGCTAAATATTTAACTTGTGACTTAAATATTTAGTTTTGAGCTAAATATTTAGCATGCTACTTAAATATTTAGCTAGCTACCTAAATATTTAACTTAAATATTTAGTTTAAATATTTAGCTAGCAAGTTACCGTAAATATTTAGCTAGCTACCTAAATATTTAGGTTGCAACTTAAATATTTAGGTAGCTAGCTAAATATTTAAGTTGCAACCTAAATATTTAGCTTGTTAAGTAAATATTTAATTTGTAAGTTAAATATTTAGTTTATAAACTATGGCACTTATAAATGTATGAATCACATGGTGAAAAACTGACTTTGAAAAATAAATATGTTCTTTTTTTCTTATAAAAGGCTGCATAAAAGAAAAATATTGGTGGTAATTTTTGACTGTGTAACTTTACAAACAGCACCCCGCACAGAAGGCAGGTATGGAAAGCCTACCAGGTCAAATATGTGGAAACGTTTCGCGTAAACTTGACGTTTATACAAAGTGCGAACAACACACAAACATTGTGTAAAATATATTACGTATACGTACCAAAATTTCCTGCATAATTAACGTGTAAACTGTGTTAACACGTCAACAATGTGTAAAGTATGCACTTTTTGCACACTATTTGTACCATTTTGTTAAGACACAAACAGCATCTGTTTATGTCCCTTTTGGGGAACTGCACTTCCTGTCACTTCCACTGGCCATGGTGGTGGTTTTGGCKGTAATTTACAGCAGTAATTTAAAATGATCCCATCTGGCTCTACAGCATTTTCTTTTTTTGACTGTTTGAACTTCAATCTTAAAGCCCTTCTTCTGATTAATATTATATTAATTTATTAACCCCTCACCAAACCATGTTTTCTTTAACCCAGAGATGCATAACCTCTTCACCTTACTCTGCACCTCCTCTGTGAAAAATWTTTTTTTGAGGATTTAAATATCCAAATTGACAACTCCTTTAGATTTTATGTCACTTTTGGACTCTCTTAACCTTAAGTTGAAAGCATACTCCCTGCAAACTGCCGACGTCGGCATGGGTTGTCGCAGTTTAATGACGAAAATTACGTCTCCGGGCTTCGCAACGTCGTGTCGACATCCTCTTTTGGCACAACCCCCCCAGCAGAACATTTGACCCCCCTCCCGTGTCGACGGTAATGTGTGATTGGTCTGAAGTTCGTGGGCGTGTTTGTTTGTGTTGCGCTCGGGGGGTCGGGGGGGACGACTCGCTCCCAGACTAGAAAGCAGAGTTTTATAAGATATAGTCTAAAAAAACTTATGGCTTGTTTGTTTGTGCTTAATATGTGCTGCTGCACTCGGTAAAAAAAAAAAAAAAGAGGGGAAAAAAGCCCTGACTCGCTCCCAGAGCCGACACCAGGAAGTAGAGTTTTATAAAGATAGTCATACTGTGAAAAACTCATAAATGGAGATAAAACAGACGTTGTGCACGGAGGAATCTGACTGATAAAAACTGTGGAGCTTTTACCTGGACAGATGTGGATAAATACGTCGGGTGAGTGACGTCTTTTTTTTTCTGCAATGATTGTCGGCTGTTGCAGGGGAAATTCCATGCAGTGACGTATGGTTCAGTGGGTGGGGGGTTTCCCGAGCTCGGCGCGGGGTGTCTGTGACTATGAAAAGTCTGTGCGAAAACGACTGCCGATCAACCATGTGACCGCGCGTCGACCCGTCGGCGTCGGAGCGAGTATGTTTCAGGCTTTACTTAGCATGTTGATGCCCCAATGCACACCAGGGGGCATACTCTAGATTTGGTGATTACGGGCACTGTACCCATTAATAACTTATTGGTATAAAACCTGGGTATCTCAGAGCACAGTGTAATTTCCCTGGAAGTGCCTTCAGCTTTGTTTGGTCCAAATTCCAAACAGCTTATCCAAATCTGTGATTTTAAAAACATCTCCCCTGAGGTCTGTCCTCTGATTTCTGCTACCTGGCTGCTGTCAGTCATTCATCTGCAAATGACTCCGTGGATTACTATAATCGATCTCTCCATGGGTTTCTGGACATTTGTGCTCTCTTTAAATCAAGGCTGTTCTCGGGAGGGGTGACCAGAGGTGTGGGACTCATCAGGCATGGGAGCCGAGGATCAAAAAGGTAACAGTCTTTATTGACAAAAAATCACAGGACTTGCAAAAATGCCTGAAAAAAATTCTTCTGGCAGGTAGATTTCACACAAACACAGGAACATGGACGACAGGGAGAACTAGAGGAGAGGAGGGAGACCCGACACCAGAGTGATGGTGAGGAGTTGGTTAGGTTAGGTTAGGTTAGGTTAGGTTAGGTTAGGTTAATGTGCCAACACTCAGAGACTGACACAGACAGAATAAATACATACAGGGCTAATTAGGGGGAGTGGAAACACCTGGGAGGAAGAGGGCAGACACAATCAGAGGAGATGGAAAACAGGTGAGAAGGAAAGGCAGAAAACAGACAGAAAAGCCAACCAAAACAGACAAAGTCTGTGTCTCAATTCATCCTGCATCTTCATGAGTGAACATTTGTCGACCACATACTTCACTGCCATGCGCAGAGTGCTCTCCCAATTCGAAGGCTCCTCCTCATGCAGCCGAGGAATGCGGCCTACAAAATCTCAAAAGCCAAGAACGCAGTATCCTCGAATATCCTTGAGTATTCTTACCAGGATTCAATGCACCAACAGCAAACTAAACAGAGAAGCGAAGATGACTGAGTTTTTATTTTTTTTACCAAGTCGCCTTAGTTTGGAAATGAGCTGGTCCATGTGCTCATGAGGATCCAGTCCATGAATGGAGACACAGCCAAACAGTCCCACCATTGACACTTGGTACACTGGTGAACTGTGTAGGATGAAAGCAGTTGGCCGTGCTATTGAGAGATGTGTGCAGTCATCTGGTCTCTCAGTATAAGCAGACATATAAATATCCTCAGAAAGCCTATGCCTTTTCATCATCTTCACCATCTTCATGTAGAGGTTGGCCTATGTGATACTGTCTTGGACTGGTTTCTTTTTTTTTTTTTTATCTCCAACAGGCTGGAATATGTCAGCCTTGGCAATGCCAAGTCCCAGACTGCCTGTGTCACCTGTGGTGTCCCTCAAGGGTCAGTTCTTGGGCCCCTGTTATTTTCCCTTTACATGCTAGCCAGGTCATTATTTGGTGCGGCATTTCTTTTTTCTGCTACGCTGATAATACCTACCATTACATCAGAAATGGATCAAATACCTCAACCAATCTCACAGCATCATCTACTTCAACATCAATAACAGCAAGAGCACCAGATTTATCATCACCACTGTCATCACTCTCTTAAGGAGATGACAGCATGAATGAGTTAGAACTTCCCTTACTCTAAAACTGAGGCCTTGCTGATTGACACCTCTCACCAGGTTCAGACAAGACATTCCCCTTTCCACCTGTGTTACTAATCTTGGAATGAGACTGGACTCTCAATTTACATATCACATAAAGCATCTGTTTAAAACATGTTCCTTCCATCTCTGTAACATCTCTAAACTTTGCCACGCTCTCTTTTTCTCATTCTGAGAAATTTCGCCTTTGTCTCCTCCAGACTTTACTGCAACTCCCTGTTTTTTTTTTTTGCATGTTTTATATGCGTACATGCGTCAAGTTCACGTGAAATGCTTGTGCATATTTGGCCTGGTAGATTTTCTATAGAATGTGTGTGTGTGTGTGTGTGTGTGTGTGTGTGTGTGTGTGTGTGTGTGTGT